TAGTCTACAGGGTAGTTTATAAATAAATAAATGCTTATGTCTCCCATTCTAGAGCAAAAGAAGCTCAAGTTCATGTTCATACGTGTTCACGAACTTGTCCAAAAAAGTCAGCAGCGAAATTTCTAATTCAAGCAGTTTTGTTTCAGAAGTCACACAAATAACATTATTTATTTTTCAAAAATGTATAGGACAAAAAAAAAAAAAAAAAGAAAACATGTATAGGACATCTGAAATAAATTTAACCTTAACAGTTAACAAAAATGTACAGGATAGAAAAAAAGATTATCAAGCTTACACACCAGTCCTTCCCCCTACCACTGCTTATATGCAGTTTTGCTTTTATAGTTTCAGTTACCCTCAGAAAATCATGGTCTGAAAATATTAAATGGAAAATTCCAGAAATACACTTCATTAATTTTCAAGTTTATACCATTCTGAGTAGTGTGCTGAAATCAACCTACTCTGTCCTGCCCAGGACATGAATCATCTCTTTGTCCAGTGTGTCTGCACCGTATATGCTACCCAACCATTAATCACTGAATAGCTAAACTGGTTATCAGATCCACCATTGAAGTATCACAGTGCTTGTGTTCCAGTAACCCTTACTTAGTACACCAAAGCTATATCGCAATGCTTATATTGTTCAACTCCATTTTTTCATGTAGGCATTGTATCATCTCATATAACCTCAAGTTGAAGGCTAAGGACAACATAAGATATTTTGAGAGAGACCACATTTCACATAATTGTTATTTTTTTTATTTTATTGTTAGCTTTATCATAATCTCTTACTGTGCCTATATTTTAACTAAACTTCATCATCGTATGTATGTGCAGGAAAACATATATATATATGTGTGTGTGTGTATATATATATATATATATATAGTTCTTTGTCACTATCTGTGGTTTCAGGAATTCACTGGAGTTCTTTGAATGTGTCCCCTGCAGATAAGGGGGGAGAACTACTGTACTAGAGGAAAAAGATTTTAAAACTTTTCAGAAAGTTTTGCACAAATAGAGGCAGACTTTCCCTGTGATTCATAAAATAACACTGAAAACATGCTTGAAAGGTAGAACCACGGGAGCGTAACACTGATTCCTGCACGGGTGCTTCTTTTCACGCCCAAGAGTCTCCGCTCTCTAGCCTTGCCACCCTACCCTCCTGGCAGCTCTGGCAGTGGCTAAGCTGAAAGTGACACAGGACATCACATTCCTATTAAAAATACATGGTACAATGCATCTTGACCTATTTGATCCAATGCTTCCAGACTTCTTTTGAATCTAACACTATTCTAAGTTGAAGATCTATTTTCCACAAACACCGCTTTGATAAAACCTTTGGCTTTAGGGGTTGAGAAAAGGAGAAAAGAATTGTCCCACACCTTTCCTTGCCTTCTGCTATCTTTTGTTTGGCTGGCATGTGTCAATGCCGGGGGACCCTTTTCAAGCGTTGTTTTTCGTGATTTGAGGGGCAGAGAGGGAGAGAGAGGGACGCTTCCATCTGCTGGCTAACTCCTTACATGTCTGAAACAGCTGAGACTAGCTGGAAGGCGGGACAGAAATTCCAACCAAGATTCCACATGGGTGGCAGAGACTCAGCTTGACCCATCACCTGTCACCTGCTGCCTCAGGGTGTGCATTAGCAGGACTCAGGAGCTGGAAACAGAACTCAAACCCAGTGTGATAGGGGATGCAGGTGGTCTAAACAGGTATCTTAAGCACTAGGCCAAATGCCCGCAAAACAGTAGATTGGCCCTTTCTTGGGGCTCATTCCCCTTAGTGGGTCCCTTGAGGCTTTCCTCCACAGGAAGCAGCTTACCTGCATCAGACAGTAATGACTTTCCTGAGCCCAGCCACTGGGAAGGAGAATCCCAAAGAAAAGATTCCCTTTCCCAGAGAATTATTTAGAGTCCCACAGTGGGGAAGATGAAGATGCCCTATCAGCAAAACATCTATTAGCTCGCTCTCTAAGTTGGTCCCAGATATCACTCAATCATTACAGACTCATAGGCAGCCTTGTTGAGGGTGCAGGGTGGGGGTAGGGGATTCAGCTCTTGTTTTGATCATAACCAAAAAGTTGAGTCCATCTTAGTTCAAGGTCCTATGGGAGGGTTTTCAACGGAAACTATTCAGTACAAGTATGGAACAGGAACACTTTGTAAAGAAGAACCAATGGAAGATTTAGCTGTATCTGTGTGTGCTGTTCATATGAATTATAACTAAGTAGTCAATGATGAGTAACACAAATGAGTCATTATTTCTGAGTATTGGATGCCTTGATCATATAACATCATTTCACTCTTCTGTATGAACACCAATGCAGAATTCAGAAGGGACTGCCAGCAAACCAGCTCACAGAACAGACAGCTCCTGATAAGTGTTTCCTGGCTTCCATCCTCTTAATGCTGGAGTTTGGGTAAGAGCAAGTTGGACGTAACAATCAAACGAAGGTTATTTCATTAACTATTCGCCTCTACTTTCCAAATAGTGCTCCAAGGAATGAAATCACATTTTCTCCTCTTATCTATCTACTCAGCATCAGCATATGTTCTCTCTACTTTTCCTTACCATCAAAAGCTGCTTTAGGGAGACCATCTGATGAATTAGGGATAAATAGGGCTTAAACCATTACTTTTCCTGGGATTATGGCTTTGGAGAAACAAACTACTCAAAGGGATAAAACTCTAATGGCAGAATTTCAGGTGAACTGGAGAAGGGGTTTTTGGTTATAGAGACTTTCTAATCCCAATGGTAATTAGCCAAGTTGATTCTGAGTGTTAGTTTAAGTCAAAAAGGCTAGAATCAGGGCAATCCTTATCCTAGATGTGGACTGGTCTTCTTTATTTAGGTTCTGGGGAAGGGTGTTAAGTTTATTTGTATCCGTGGTATCACATTTGTGTGTGTGTGTGTGGGGGGGGACCCTGGAATGCCAAAGTCCTGCTGGTTGCTCACGGGTATGGGAGTCACTCCATCCTGGTATGCTTTAGGCGGGTGACATTTTTAGTTCAGAGCTATGCCACTAAGTTCTGATCAGACTCATTAGTTTTCCAAAGTGCGACAATTAAAAATAGCTTGTATAATATGCTAACTTTAGCTTCTTATGCAATGGTTACGATTAATATTCATATAAAATAGATACCGAGCTTGGTGTTACTAGCATACCTGCCTGCTTGCCATTCCTTAGCTTCCAGTTTATGCTCTAGCCTCTCTGTTTCAGCACTAAATGTACCTGTACATTTTGGTGCTAATTTTCAACTTAGGCTCTACACCAAGGGACTAATACCTGTGTCAATGCCAGCAGTTCTGGGAGCAGTGACAATGTTCCCATCCCTTAAAAGCTGACCGGAGTTATCTCCAGTGTTTGTCACTTGTGCACAACTCATTTAGGTAAGTAATTCTTTGTGCACTTTATGAATTCTTCCCTTTGGATGCAGGCCAAGAATTGTCTGTAGGGCATATAGCTCTTTACTCAAACTTGATAATAAGCAATTATCTCTGGAATACAGACGGAAGACCTGAACCAGTGCCTCCGGGGACCTGGGGCCCAAAGCACCATCGCTGTACACAGTGAAGCAGAGCAGAGGCGGGGGTGGAGGGAAGGTCTCCCCGTACCCATTCCGCTCCTCCTCCGGGTAAAACAAGGCCGTCTGTCAACATACTTAATGCGGCAACTGCAACAACTGTGCAATATTATGGCTCACGCTCTCTATGCCGTATGTGTTGACAGGACGCTAAAGAGTCTCTCTCTAAACGCAAAAGCCGCCAGGATGAATTACGAGGGCCAGCGCAAGCCAACCGCTGCGCCACCGAAACCACTGGGCTGGGGAGCCTGCGTCGCCTTCAGAGGGCAGCCGGCGTTTCTTCTAACAAAGGCGCGAGCTCGAGGCAATTTCGCGGGCCATTTTCCCCCGGCCAGCGCCAGCTTTGTCTCCGCGCCGGTGCGAGGCCGAACCCTGGAGGAGCCCCAGCTGCGCGGCGGGGCCAGCGAGCGAGCGAGGGCTGGCGTGGGAAGCTCGGCTGGGCCGCTGCGGCGGCGGCTTGCAACCCGAGCGTGCCATTACAAGAAGTTGGAGTGCAGCGGCCGCAGCGGATACCTGCTGCCTGCAAATCGGGGCTGGACTCGAACAGCCCCCGGCGCACCGGCCGCTGTGTACAAAGAAACTCAACCGGCCAGCGCGGCGGCGGCGGCCTGAGGGCTCTGCGTTCCCGGGCCGAGGTCGGCGGCGTCGTCTGCGTTCGCCACGGGCTGGGGAGCCGGCGTGCGCGGGGGGTCACGGAGCCCGCAGGCAGGCCCCCGGGGACCGGCGCCCGAGCGGGCCTCACGCCGCGCCCGGCACGCGAACCCGCGGACGGCGGGGCCCCTCCCCCCAGGCCCCGCCGCCCCCCGCCGCCGACGTCGGCCGCGCGGCCCCCGCGCGCGCGCGCGCGCTGACTGGCTCGCGCCGGCCTCCGGCCCGGCTGTGGGCGGTTGGGGCGCAGCCCGCGGGAGGCCGCCCCGCCCCCTCCGCCGCGCGGCCGCGCGCAGCCTCTCCCCCCTCGCCGGCGGGGCGGTGGCGCCGTAGCCTCCGCCGCGGCCTGCGCGGCGGTCACTCCCCTGCGCCCCAGCCCCACTCCTCCTCCTCCTCCTCCTCCTCCTCGTCGCTCTCCGCTCCCTCCCGCCGGGCCCCTCCCCTCGCCGTCTCTCGCCCGAGCGAAGGTGGCGCGGCGGCGCGGGACGCAGCCTCGGCCCCCGCCGCGGCCCCGCGAACTCGTGAGGAGGACCGGGCTGCCGCCCACCCCAGCCCCGCGCCCCGTGCGGCCGCCGCCGCCGCCGCCGGGGAAGAAGCAGCAGCAGGGGAGTGGCGGCGCGGCGGCGGGAAAGCGAGAGGCGGGCGAGCAGGGAACGCTGCGAGGAACGGACAGAAGGACGGCCGGCCCGACGAGGGCGCCGCCATCGAGCCTGCCCGGCCCCTCGGCTCCGGGCGGCGGCGGCGGCGCGGGCGAAGGGCGCGGCAGGCGCTAGCGAGACAATAACCGGCCGCTCGGCTCTGGGGGCGGCGGCGAGGAGCAGGGCCGGCCTAGCGCGGCCGCGGCCCGCCGAGCGCCCGGGCGGCGTCTCGGCCGCCGCCGCCGCCGTCGGGGGCGCGGGGCGCGCGGGGCCCGGCCGACGGCGCCTCCCCTCCCCCTCCGCGGCGCGCGCGCTGGGGTTCCGGGTTCCCCTGGACGGAGCTGGCTCCTGCCTTGCGCCGAGGCAGGAAGTGAGTTTCGCACGGCAATTCCGGGCGGTGTCACGAGTGAAAAAGTTTTTTTTTTTTTTTTTCCTCCTCCTCTCGGCGGAGATCCTAGTTGGGGCTGGGAAACTCCTGCAAACTCGAGACCAGGAAGCCAGCCCGCATCCCAACCCCCACCCGGGCAGCCTACTCTGCTGCTGCGGGCGGCCGCTGCACATCCGTTCTCACCGGAGAGACTCGGCTGGATGCGAAGTGACTAACGCGGGCGAGGGAATCATGGGCAGCGAAGCCTGGAAAAAGCAGCCCTGAGACGCCGTCCGGCCGAAAGGTAATTTTCGCGAGAAGCGTCTGGAAGACACACAGTGCACGGACCGGAAAAGGGGCGATCCTTTTGCCCAAGTTTCCGTCAGTTCTTTGCTCGGATCGGAGCGCACAGTGTTCTAGGTGGTGAAGTGGGAGAGCTGTGTGTGTTTTGTTTTGTTTTGTTTTTTAAGCCCCGGTCTGCCATCTGGGCTGTGGTTTGTGTAGAAGCGATGGTAAGAATGCAGTGGGACGGGAAGTTTGGGCCGCCTGGAGAAAGAGTGCCTTTGTTGAGCGCGAGCTCCAGAAGTTTTCGTTTTCTGGAGCCTCTGCGAGGTGTGCGAAGCTCCTGTCTGGCGACTTGGTTGGGAGGAAAGTTCCGTCGATTTGCGGCTGTTGAGATGGCTGCCGCGTTTGTTTGTGCTGATAGCGATGGTTTTGGCTTTGGAGTTCATCGCGCAGAGACTGTTTTTGGTTCAGAGCCTTGTTGCGTCTAGTTTATTGGATTTTAGGGACAAGCAACTTTTTGCCAGCTTTAGTTTTCAGGGCAGGTAATGTTTTTTTTTCACGTGTGTTAACTTGTCCTTTTCAGGTGTTGACTCCTAAAATATTTCCTTCATTAATTGAAAGCAAGCGTCTGCTAGACTTTTCTTGTGACTGAACCATTAGGATGGAGAAGGAGGGAGTGAGGATTACAGATGAAGGTGTGTAATTAAAACGCAGCTTGATTTGCTCGGACCGCCGTGCAGGTCAGCACTGACTATGTAGGGAGGGAAGTAAAACGCTTCAAAGATTTTCTTGGGAACCACACTGATTGGGATATAAAAAAAGCTGTGCCTTTGAATACTAGGATATTTAGATTTTTGTGTTGGCCCAAATGTTTCGTTCGGTTCGGCCTAATAAGGGAGAGGAACTTAGTGTGGGGCAGGACTCCGTGAAGCGTGACAGACCTACTAGCAGCAGGCAGAGCTCTGAACACCTCTGAGCCAATGGGTAGACTTCCTAGAGTCAACGCGTTTGGGTCATGGCAAACCCACTCCCTGCTTTCAGCGGCGTTTTAGTGTCTTAAGTTTATTTTTTTCCCCAGTACTTTTGTGGTAAAGGTAGTGAAAAAATATTGTATTTGTGAGTAAATGCTAAGAAAATATGATCATCTGTGGAATCATTTTAATATAAATCGATGCCTAGTTTATCAAATACTAGCAAAGTAATTACTGTAAACCCCAGGAGAAAGAGCTGACTTCCGTTCAGAGAGAAAAGGTAAATTTTAAAATCAGGATCAAATTATTTCACAACTTGATCTTTGCTACTTCGTCTTTTAAAAGTACTTTTCAAAATGGGAGACTTTTAACTGTATTGCTTTTTTTTTTTCTGAGAGCGTGATTTCTGTTTTTTTTTTTAATTGTGAACCATCATATAATTCCTTTTAAGCCAAATTAGCCTTATCAAGGAATTTAAAGTGCACAGCTGATCTACTTTATGAATTCAGACCATGTATTAGGCAGCAAAGGAGGTTATTGTTGGGCATCTGAAAGAATGGAACAAAATAAATGACATTGAACTTCAGTTTCCTTATATGGTTCATACTTGGCCTCAGAGCAACAAAGCCATAATAGAGCAAGTTTGACCCAGAATTACCACTTTACAAAGGTATTTGTGTTCATAAATTTTATGTAAAAATTATTGTAGCACCTGATAATGACTAAACACCTGGTTTTTGATAAAGTTCTTGGTTTCCCCCCTCCTCCTGGAGAAGAATGGTATGTTTGCAGGCAGGCAACACATTTTTAAAAATGAGGTGTTAACTTTTGTAATTATCTTTGGTTCCTTTTTACCTCTTAATGATGCATAACTTTCTTTGTGGTTTACTTAAAATTCTGTTACTTAGCATTAACAGACTAAATTTTAGGTTTTGCACTGTTGAACTGTATATTCCAAAATTTTGTTTAAAATGTGAGGTTTGAAGAGATGTTTAGAAAAGCAGTCAGTTAAAATATTTTAAGTGACTTCAGGATCTGGGTATTCTTAGTGTTGTATAGACTTTCTTAGGATAAATTATGTGTTTACTTATTTGCACAGAATACAATTTAAAAGATATGTTTGTTGAAGGTAATCATGAGTTTTCAGAACTTCCACCAATTCAAAGTACTAAGTTACAGAATCACTTTGCCGCTTGAGGTTAAACTGTAACAAAAATTTATGTATAAAAAGCTTACAGAGGTTCAAATATGGGAGCCAGATTTTCATTGTGTGCTGTTAATTAAGTGATGACTATAGAGACGTATCATTGGTAAATCACTAAAATTCAGTTACTTTTGACCTTGATGATGTTGAAGTATTGGTAATAAATGATAGCTTCTTTTTTCATTTTTCAAAGATTTTATTTATTTGAAAGGTAAAATTACAGAGAGGCAGAGAAGTCTTCCATCCACTGGTTCACTCCCCAAATGGCTGCAGTGGCTAGAGCTGGACTGATCTGAAGCCAGGAGCCAGGATCTTCTTCCAGGTCTCCCACTCTGGTGTAGTCCAAGGACTTGGGACATCCTCTGATGCTTTCCCAGGCATACTGACAGGGAGCTTCTTCTGAGTCTCCCACATAGGTGCAGGGGCCCAATGACTTGGGCCATCTTCTGCTTTCCCAGGCCAAAGCAGAGAGCTGGATCAGAAGTGGAGCAGCTGGGACTCGAACTGGCGCCCATATGGGATCACAGCCAGTACTGCAGAGGTGGCTTGCTATGTCACAGCGCCGGCCCCCTCTATTTTGTTTGTAAAACAGAGTTACAGAGAGGCACAGGCAGAGAAAGCGAGATCTCCCATCTGCTCTTTCACTCCCTAAATGGCTGCAATAACCAGAGTTGGGCTGATCGGAAGCCAGGAGCCAGGAGTTTCTTTCCAGTCGCCCACATGGTACAAGGGCCCAAGCACTTAGGCCATTTCCTACTGTTTTCCCAGGCCATAGCAGAGAGCTGGATTGAAAGTGGAGCAGGGGCTGGGACTGTGGCACAGCAGGTAAAGCCGCCGCCGGCATTGCCGGTATCCCAGATGGGCGCTGGTTCGAGTCCTGGCTACTCCACTTTGAATCCAGCTCTCTACTGTGGCCTGGGAATGCAGTGGAAGATCTTTGGGCTCCTGCACCTGCGTGGGAGACCCGGAAGAAGCTCCTGACTCCTGGCTGTTGCGGTCAATTGGTGAGTGAACCAGTGGATGGAAGATCTTCCCTCCCTCCCTCTCTCCCTCTCTGCCTCTGTGCCTCTCCTCTCGTTGTGTAACTCTTGACTTTCAAGTAAAATAAGTTAATGTTAAAAAGTGGAGCAGCTGGGACTTGAATCAGCACTCATGGGTGCTGGCATTGCAGGTGGCATTTTTACTCACTACACCACAGCACTGGCCCCTGGCTTCCTATTTTTGTAGTTAGGTTTGTTTACTTCCTCTATTTTTTCCATATTGGTCTCTTGTTTCTTATTTGTATTTTTTTTTCCTCTCTTTTCCAAGCTTTATCAGACTATGTTTTTCCCTTAAATAAACTGTTCATAACATGCAGTATAAGTGTACTTAATCAGCCCCATTTAATTCTTTTTTTTTTTTTTTAATATATTTATTTGAAAAGAGAGGGAGAAGGAAAGAGAGAGTGAGGGATCTGTCCCCTGGTTCACTCTCCAAATGACTGTGGTGGCCCGGGCTGGACCAGGCTGAAGCCTGGAGTTTCATCCAAGTCTTCCACGTGTACGCAGGGGCCCTGGGGCCACCCTCTCCTGCTTTCCCAGGCATATAGTAAGGAGCTGGGTTGGAAGTGGAGCAGCTGCATGGGTTGCTGACATCATAGATGATGACTTAACCCATTGAATTCTGAATATTCTTTTTGCATTCCAGCTCAGTGTACATAACTGTAATTAAGCTTGATATTAATGTATACTTTTTTTATTTGAATTTCATTTTTCAATTATCTTGTTCATCCTTAATGTCCCCAGAATTAACTGTTTCGGTCATATCAGGTCATATATTCTTACATGTTAAGACCCTCTATAACCCCCTTCTACCTTATGCTTTTGATCTCTTTAAACATACAAACACTGCTCTGCACTTTCCATTTTCCTTTTTGCTCCTGTCTCTTTTCCTACCTCTCAAGTTGGATGTCTTTTTTGTTTGTGTCTAAAATTTACAGTTGTCTTCTGCTTTCATGAAATAAGTGCACTGGAACTCTGTCACATTCTTTATTGTCACTTCAAATTTTGTTCCTGACACCATGGGTAAAGACCTTCCTTACCAGTCTTTATAATTGAAAGTATATGACATTAAAAAATATCTGAAACTTAATAAAATAAGCTACTTATCTGGATATTATTTATACATCTATGACTTTAGATATATATAGAGTGTAGTAGAGGGGCCACACTGTGGTGTAGCAGATAAAGCCACCACCTGAAGTGCCAGCACCCCATATGGGCACTGGTCCTGGCTGCCCGGCTGCTTCATATCTGATCCAGCTCTCTTCTATGGCCTGGGAAAGCAGTGGAAGATGGCCCAAGTGCTTGGGCCCCTGCACCCATGTGGAAGACCTGAAAGAAGCTCTATTGTGGCCATTTAGGGAGTGAACCAGTGGATGGAAGACCTCTCTTTTTCTGCCTCTGTAACTCCACCTTTCAAATAAATAAAATAAGTAATTCTTAAAAGAATGTAGAAGAACTAGAAATACCTTAAAAAGGACATCTTAAGTGATCAAAACAAGCATAATAAAGTCTTGAGCATTATTCATAAATATATTATTCGAAGTCCATTTACTTTTGTAGTGAGGTGTTTCTTGCCTTTTTGGTGTCTTGGAAGTGATGAGAAAAGTAAATTAACAGCATTATAAGATTGTGAAAATAAGACATGATAGTAAAGTTATAGAAAAATGGAAGGCAAATGGAATAATTCAGAAAATACAGATGCTCTTAACTTGTGGCAGGGTTACATCCCAGTAAACCCATTGTAATTTGAAAGTACTGTTAAGTCAAAAAGGCATTTGATACACCTAACCTGCCAAACTTCATGAGTTAGCCTAGTCTACCTTAAATGTGCTCAGAATTCTTACATTAGCCTATAGTTGTGCAGAATCACCTAATACAAGCCTATTTTAGAATGAAGTGTTGGTTATCCTGTGTAGTTCATTGAATACCTGTATGCAGAAAACTCTGGTGACACAGTATTTTGTAGAATGTTGGTTGTTTCTCCTCATGATTGTGTAGCCAGCTGCTGTGGTTTACTGCTGCCCAGTGTCGTCAGAGATTATTGTGCTGCATGTTGCTAACCAGGGAAAAGATCAGAATTCAAATTTTGTTTTAAAGATTTTATTTATTTGAAAGAGTTATATATAGAGAGGAAGAGACAGAGCTTCTATCCACTGGTTCATTCCCCAGATGTCCGCAGCAGTCATGGCTGGACCAGGCAGAAGCCTGGAGCTAGGAGCTTCATGTGAATCTCCCACGTGGACGCAGGGACCCAAACACTTGGGCCACCTTCCTCTGCTTTCCCAGGCCACTAAAGGGAGCTGTATTGGAAGAGGAGCAGCCAGGACAAAAACCAGCGCCCATATAGGATGCTGGTGTCCCAGGCTGTGGCTTTACATGCTATGGCAAAACCATGGCCCCAGAATTCAAATTTTGAAGTGAAATGTATGGCTTTCGCACAATCAGAGTAAAAAAAAAATAAATGATAGGTCAGAACA